CTTCCAAACAAGCCACGGATATTTATAAGGCGCCATCTTATATGACTCTAAAAATTATACCGTTTTGAAATTTTAACCAACAATTAATTTCACTTTTAAATATTGGTAACAAATATCGTTAGTAAAATTTTAACCCTTTAAAACTCATGCTCACTGCTTACTTCTACCCTCTGCTCGTTCATTTATTTTGGAATAAAATATAAAATTTAATTTTAGATATTTATAATGACCTTGAGTTTATAGCTAGTAGACTTAGGCTAAGTACAGATTTATGATCGACAAAAACTTCTTTGTTAATTTTTTTTGCAATTTGAATCCCACTGCAAGCAATAGATATTCACGTCGGATGAAAAGTAAATGTCTTTACTATATAAAATAGTATAATATATAAGCATATAGCAGACAAATTTAATAACTGCATATATATTAATACAGTTACGTAGCTGAACCTTTACCCTTGCTAGTCGTCCTTGTCTCTGTGGCATTCAGAGAAGCTTCTACTATACACTTTTATTTAGAATACAATAGAAATTCTTAAAACACTTTCATGCATTTTGTTCACAGCTCGTTGACTTTGTTTCGCCACTTCTTGAAGCAAGAGCTTATACGAGTACACTAACACTTTGGCAACAACACATGAATTTATACTTTTATGGCCGCATGAATGTGGGTGTAGTTGTGCGAGAATATACGTCTGCATGGAGTGAAAGCAACGACCAAAGTCAAATTTGTACAGATGAATATAAAGAAGCTTGAAACTACGAAGAACTGTTGTGACTGCGACTGTATTTATAGTGAAGTGTTATGCATGCGTTAAGATAAACAGGGTGAGACTTCTGCAGGCAGTTCATTTCTATGCATCTCTGGGTAAGTTTGGAATACTTAAACAGAAGGAGGTTTGACTGAGTCATTGAAGCTGGTTATTTTAGCGGCAAAAACATTCCTCAAGTAGTCTGGAGGAAAGCAAACTAGTTGTTAGTTCTTGATCAAATAAACCATAAAATCGGTTTCATCGGAGAGGGTTTATATAAATGTTTTAGATATATCCATGCGTGGCTCATTGGCCCAACAGATTAACCTAACCTAACCTAAACAGTAACTCTAACTTATTATATTTAAACTGTAATTATGTTTTCAATTCATTCTGTGAAATGTCTACAAAACTGTGAGTAATAAATAAAATACATTATTTTTATTTCTTATTCACTGGCACGCCACAACAAGAGCACGCCATTAGAAACTGCTTGTTGCTATGTGCGCCAATTGGAGATTCCAAGCGAAGCCAGGTCCTTCTCCGCCTAGTCTTTCCAACGTTTTCTTCGTCCATACGGATGACATGACCCAGCTAGTGTACGCGCTGTCTCTTACAGCTCATTATTCTATCGAATGCGATATTCGCTGTAGCCAATGCGCAAAGCACCATAAATCTTCCGCAAAACCTTTTTCTCGAAAACTCGTAACGTCGACTCTTCAGACGTTGTTGCCGCCCGTGCCTCTGCGCCATATAGCAGGACGGGAATAAGGAGTGACTTACAGAGTTTGGTTTTCGATCGTCGAGAGAGGATTTTACTTTTCAATTGCCCACTGAGTCCGAAGTAGCACGTGTTGGCAAGACACTGGATATCAGAGCAGAGAACTATCCCACGGTAGTGGCGCACATGGGGGGTTTCCACTTAAATTCCAATCGTTGGACATGATTTTATCGGACCACTTATAAAATATCTATATATATAAGAAAAATTTGCTCAGATCGCATCATTATATTATAGCAAACAAGTAAAATATTTTTAGAGGAGAAGGAATAATATTTCTATAATTTGTAGAACTCACAGCTCAAAAAAATAATAATTACTTGGAAGCACAAAATTTAAGAAAATAGATTTGTGTAATCAATTAGGTGCGCATTGCCGAAAATGACTAATTATCTGCGAAATGACCGAGAGCTAATTAAAAAACGATACACCAGTTTGTTCTTGGGAGAAATGTAACTGTGCTGTTTAAATGAAACAAAGCCAAAGACCAGCAGCAAATTTGCCATCAGACATTCATTAACTAGCACAATACTATACATACATATATAGAGGAAATAATTATAATTTAGTATATACATAGGAAACCTTAGCTCCACGCAGATTTCCGTATTAGCACATAGAAAACAGTTTTATTGTAGTTCCTTGCAGATTTTCGTATTTAATTCACACGATTTAATAATGAATCGCGTGGGCTAGGAAATGCAATAGAAAATAAATTAACTATTTATGCTACAAACGCATATAGGCTTACAACTATATAGCGACTTGTTTAATTTGGTAGCAGAAAACACGCTACATTTGCAAAACGCCATTAAATAATCAATAACTTAATCTAGACCCTTACCGCTGGCGCTGAAGTTCTTGCTGGCAATGTCATTCGCCTAATGTAAACAATCAATCATTCAACAAACTAGCGGAAAGAACGGAATAATTGCCTAAAATGCTAACTGTACTACGTCAGATGTCAGCAGGTGGGCCTAAAAGTGGCATGGAGTGGACGATATGAATAAGTGATATAATACCGAGCTTAAGCGGAAATTTAATAATGTTTAATTTACTTGGTATCCAATTGATTGCTCTCTGGTTAGGGTTTAGTTTCTTAGTTTTTGGCTGTTCTGCCAGCTGTGCGATTGACGTTTTGGTTGCCTAATTAGTATTTTACATGTGTCGTGAACTGGCTAGCACTTATTTCGGCAGGAGGTGAACAGCAGGAAAATATCGTAAACCATTTCCTCCATCTCAGTTTTTAGAAATGAAAATGCTCAATTCACGTCAAGATTTCACGTAAGTGATTTTGGAAGTGAAATTTCCTCTTATTATTACAAAAAGCGTCAATCCTTTCTCTTTCGTGTATCTTTTACCGAATTCAACTTCGATAGCTTTAATAATTTTTTCTACACCGATATGACTTAACCATCTGAACAGAACTTGACGTTGAAATACACGTTGACAAATACAGACAACGCACTGATTTCGAGTCTACAATTCACTACGACTAAACCCGTCATTTAGGAGTGCCAATTCATGTATGCAGAGCTCACTTCACATACATAACAGTGTTGCAAAGGGCATATTTAGGAGTGCAAGGAATCAAAACATCTAGGGGGACGAACTGAAAATATTTACTTATTGGAAACTTTTGAATCCCATAATAAAGGAAGTGAGCTCCATTTATGGTCTCTACGAGCGATAGGAACTTATGCTGAAAAATCCACATAAAATAGCTTCTATGTGGAATACAATCAGATTGCGATCTTAACAACCCAGTCTACAAGGTTCCTTACAAAGTAAACAGGAATATACTTAGCGCCCCCTGGAGGCGCCATCTATAGGTCGACTTGTACGTTACAATTTGCTATCTCTATTTATTGTCCAGTGAGAGTTTCATGACATTTCAGCTATAGGAAGTAAAGTAATTGCGTTTTAAGTGTCAGTATGTTTGTGTTAAATGACGATCAACATGTGGGCAAGTCACAATCCGTGATCACCGGAAATTCGATCGAAACTGTGCGGGAAAAAATCAAAAAAAAAAAAAAAAAAAAAAAAAAAAAAAAAAAAAAAAAAAAAAAAAAAAAAAAAAAAAAAAAAAAAAAAAGAAAAAAAAATGGAATTGAACATCTTAAAACATCGACTTATCGCATTTTAACCGAACATTTGGGCTTACGAAAAGTGTGTGCCCGGTTTGTTCCGCACAAATTGACTGACGACCAAAAATTGCTCAGAATCCAACATTCCAAGGACATCATTAAAGAGATCAAAAAGAACATTTTAATCATTAACCACTCCCCGTGTTCACCAGATATGGCATCAGCTATGCAAATATGGCGGCAAAAAACTGTAAAATGCATGTATCAGCTACTATGGAAGATATATTCGGATGAAAACATGCCCGATGATAGGAACCTAAATAGGCTCTGCCGAATCCACAATCTGCTTCAATTATTTTGGGATACAAAATGAAGATGTCTTTCGACAAACCAGACTTACACTTTGTACTCGCCTTAGTTTCAATACAGAAGCAGTAATGGTGGTTAAGCACGCACTTGAGTTCCACAAGGAAATATTATACTGAATACTGAATTTTTATGAAATTATTATTATGTTTTGAATGATAAACTTTTCGATCTCATTAATTAACACCTCGACCTCGACCTCGACCTCGACTTCGGCGCGTCAAATACTTTTATAATGCTCGGATGGACTTGAGCTTTACATTACCTAAGCAAAGTGTTTTCTTGTTTTTTCCAATCAATCGCACTAGTCTATTTTTAAACGCAGTTTGTTATTTAAAACCAATAGCATTTCTTCTTCACCAAATCGCAACAAAATTTTAGTTAAACTTCTAATTCAACTTCAAGAAAATATAAGTAAACACATACATAAATACTTTATATTTTATCCCAACTAATTTCCATAAAATATGTTCTTGAATTTGTATACTTTGCATTGGCTTCCTATATATCCAACGGTCTTTTCCAACATAGTCTCGTTTTAAAGTTTTCTTACTTATTTGATCTTTTTTATTACATTTTCGCAATTCTCATTTTATTTTGCTGTATTCTTTGCAGACTCTTATTGTGTTGATTTTATCTGCCAAAATGAGATTTTCTCTGGTCTTGTAATCGTATTAATGCGTTTGCTTGAGAAAGCTGGCTTGTCACCGACGTGTCGCGTCGCCTGTCACACGACAGCAATTTCTTTTGTATGCACAGCAGCAAATTTACATGAAATCCTTTTTCGGCAATTTGTGCGTGCTTAAAGATTTTAAAACATGCGATACGAGTATTCATTGACATGTGAATGTTAACCGCTTTTGAATATATAATGTGTGTACTTATTCACATACACATATGTAAACATGTTATTGTGTATTTAATTTCTATACATTTTGCATTACGACATTTCTTATTCATTGTAGAATATCTATATAAATGGCTTCGTGCTTATTATTTGTTGAGTTTGATTTACCTTTTCTGATAACTCTATTTGCTGGTGCTTGAATTTCGTATAAAGTCCATTGATTCACAGCTGTAAAATAAAGTTAAAATATTTTCTATAATTTTTAATCTTAAACCTTAAAATTAAATAATTCATAAATGTCATTTATATTTACAGTTACATTATTTTTCATTTTATGAGTTTAGGACATAGAATTAGTGAATAAAATTCTAATTAATTTGAACGCATCTTTTCAAAGCGGAGCTTTTGCAACTCTTGCAGCGTTCCATATTTCTGTAAGGATAATACCAATACCAGAATCGGCTTTCATTAAGCATGTCTTTAAGAATATTATTTAATAAAATATATAGGAAAATCTGAGTAAAGCCGTCATATAGCAAATATTGTGAAATTCGTTTTTTTTTTTTAAGTGCTTTTGTGCGAAACATTAACAAGTTTTAGTGAGTTAAGTAGTTGAGCACTTTTTGCTATATCAGAAGAAGAAGCAAGTCTTTAACATTATAGATTTATCGAAAACGGCAGAATCGAACCACGTAACAAATTATGCTAGAGAAAAACTCTCACTAGGAATAGGCTATTATTCTATCATCATGTTGGTCAAGTACCACATTAGACATCCTCGTCCAATGAAATTAAATTGACCGCACTACTAGAGTGCGTAAGAATGCTAACAAGATTCCTGCTGAAAACAACGCATTTCTGGCATAGACGCAGTCACCTCTGGGACACCAGAAAACATACTCCTGCAATGAAAGGAAGACGAAGTCTGGTTACCAGCAAATGAATCCACTTAGAGAACAATAACCTTTAAACCATAGGTTTTTCTAAGCCGCTTTGATTTGGCTGGTTTAAGCGAAGTGTTGTGACAACAGGAGACGGCACCGGTCGCAGTGCATTCTTCTGATTTCGATCAATATATCTATCTATGCATTAAGACCACTTAAAAAGTATTAGCTTTTCGAGTATCATGATTCGATTGAAGCGTTAACAGCTCAATATTTCATTTCATCGGTTTTTCATTTTGCCAACCTTCGCTATTTTTCGCTGAATTTTATTAACTTGGACCATATTCCACCGATTAATAATCGATTAATAATTGATAAAGTCACCATTAAGCAGGTTGCAAAAGTGATGTCGTGAATTAAACGAAAAGGCCACTACGACATCAGCCGCTGCCTTACAATTTTTCGTACAATTTAATCAATGTGCATACGAGTTACGCTTTAGAGTCAATATTAGGCATAAAGATCATTGCATTTTCTATATGAAAAAAAAAGGTAAGCTGAGGATCCATCTCCTTCATTATATAATAATAGAATTCGTTAAGATTTTATTGAAGAGATACTGAAAATATATGTGCTCTCACCAATACATTTCCACTTTAAGAATATTTACAAAATATGACTAAAGTTTCAGACCATTTACAGTTGGTCTTAAAATGTATACTACTCGCATATGCAAGAATAAACACTTCATGCGCCACAGACATTTTCTTACAATTTTCAGAAGTTTTTGCTTTTACGACCAAACTTGAGCCTGATACGCGCTGACAAGTTCATATAACGGCAGATAACTGAATTTCCGACTTTCTATAGATACATGCGGAATGCATGCCATTCCGAAGTGTATGTGGTCTATATTTATTTTGGCATGCATGAAGTAGAATGTGTACTTTAAGTGTGTTTGCCAGCGACGCAGTAATGGCTGCGTGTAACATGTTTATATATTCACAGCCATCAACACCAATGAGGCTATTGTGCATGTGACAACAGTTGAATATAAAGCAGCGTCAAACATATACAAACAACTACAACGTTTGCAAAGTAAAGAATATATGAAAAATATTGCTCATACGCCAGGGAGCACCAAACTCATATCGGCGACAACATTTGTGATTTTACTTGCCAGGGCAGAGCGAATATTTACGAAAACGTCAATGAGGAGGTGCAAGCATCAGCCGCCAACAACAAAAATAACAAACCCGCTAATGTGACAGTGAACAACGAGCCAGACGCAATGACAGGCGCAGCGGAAGAGCTTTTGTTGATTTAAAAAATGAAAGGAGCTGAAATGAAATAAAGTAAAAAGCCACAAACATGACCTCGTTAAATGTCTGACAAGAGTTGGCACATGTGCGCCGCGAATGCGCCTATGCAAGCGTGTAAATGTAATATTGCATGAACCCAAGTGTGTGTGTGTGCGTATGTGTATCAGCGACCGCTGTCATTGGGGTCGCTGATGTTTAAATGACATTCAGTCATTCATTCACTCGGGCAAGCAGTCAAAAATACTCATATAAAGGCACAAAAAATGCATTAACCAAACAATCAGTTCGTCAGGTCGTCAGTCAGTTAGTCATTCAAGTGTGGAGTATTTGCATGCCTCTCAACTGTCAAATTTAGCAAATTTAAATTAATTCTGGCAGTCAGCGTCTACGCACGTACTCATGCGCTTGTAACGATAATGATATATGTTTATATAAACACACATCTGCTGACGTATCATTTATCTTCAGCGACGGAAATTCGAAATAATCGAGTTAAAGAAATCTCGCTTTTAAAGCGAAAAAATCTTTTTTGATGCAAAAAGTGTTACATTTGAGCGGAAATTAACGAGAAATAGCGTTCAGGCATGAATTTGAATACAGTAATTGAATTTTTGCATCTGTTTTCTCTGCATACCTTTTCTATAAGGATATTCATCAGTGTTGCCTCTTTTACACAGATTACTAATAACGGTACTAAAGCAGATTTACTGGTGAATATATGTTATAAAAATACTTGCGCAAATAAATTGAACGGTAAAAAACAGTACACTTAGGTAGCTGAGGTCTCTGCCGGTCTTCTAAATCACTGCGCGGATATGGAGCGGAAAGTAGTATGAGCGTATAACTAAAGGTCATTGAACTTATTGACTAATGATTCAAAACTGTATGCGATGATCACATGCACAATTTACTTAAAGCCAACAAATTTCCTCCCTTCTTGGATAACTTAACGATGCTAGACTACCACACTCGTTCCCAGCTGTTATAAAAAATAAAATTTGTGAAAATTTAATCCATTCTTACCATAAAAATATAATATTATATAAAAAAACATTTTCCACAGATTTTAAAAACATATCTCACACATTAATCGATATTTTCGGCAAAGAACAATTATTGTTCGATTCTGACAACTTTTATAACAGATATCTCCAAAAATTAGTGTTAGTTATATTTTCATATACTTTTTTAAGGCTAATCCCGGCTTCGAAAAACATTTTCCAGAAAACGAATAATAAATTTCGAGTAAAAGCTCGAAGAAAGAAGAAAAAAGTTATTTGTATGGGAGACATATGTTATAATTGTCTGAGCTTCTTTAGTTTCACTGTCAATGTTAAGTACATATCAGAGGACTTTTCAGCAAAATTATGAACTTGGAGTTTTTAACATGAAAATGAATAAATAATCGGTTTAATGTAAATACATTAGAAGTTATTCAATATTTTTGCTTTTGCGAAAGTCATCCTACAATCTACTAAACTAATGGAGCTTAGACTGATGACAGAAGAAAAGTAGGCATGGTACGGCGAAGGATACGACTTAGTTTGGAGGATATGCTTAGCTTTAGAGTTTCGATAGATCAAAACTTTTATTATATTTTCTCGATTCAGGGCATTTTGGTAAAGATTTATTATCTATATACGGCTGTTGTTCCAATAAACCATTTTATATTTAAGAAAGTTCAAAATATTATGTATTGTCCTAAGCGTCCCTTTCTTGTTATTAGTTTGCTTAAATTGCTCTCCATGAAAATAAATATATATTATATTTCTAATTAAAGTTTGCAACACATATAACTATATATAAACTTTGCTATCGGCCATAACTAACAACTGAAACAATAAATTGAAATACTCTTTCAAATAATTTCTTTAAATACAAATATCTTAAAGAATTCAGCCATCACTCGAATACTTCACTCACTTTCTTATTTGACCTTACAGAAGCCAAGTTACGAGTACCTTCCTTATTTCCTCATTTGCGCAAGTGAAGCAGACGAACTTCGTTCGGAGCTAATGAGAAGAACTTTAATTATTTTTGAGTGTGCGAAGTAGCGGTGCCACAAGGCAAGTGCTGTAAACAGCAGCAACACTTCACTCACCACACCCGTCTGCCGGTATTTTCCTTAATGGTTTCCTTATTCATTTATGCTTAAATTGAAAAATTGTTTATTATGACTTTTTTGTTGTCGCTGCAGGCCATTAAATTTAATGTGCGTACCCTCCTTTGAAATTTCTTTCTGCAAACCAGTGCCTCATATTTGTTAAGTCTGCAGAACAAAATTTTCTTACTCATCGTAAAATCTTTGCTGGAGGAGTTTTTGTAAATATTTTACTTCTGGTCCCTTTATGATATCTTTGGCTACAATAATATAGTATACCTTATCCCTTTGATCTGCTGGTGCTAGTTAAGGAGGGAGTCTGCTTTAGAAGCTTCAAAAATCGGTTTCTTGAAGATTTTTAGGAGGAAAAGAAATATTTGACTAAATCTAAATTTCTAGGGCTTACAGCTATGTATTTAAATATCACTCAAACATTTTTTGGATACGAAATCTCTGATATTCTGCCTTTGAGATGCAATTACCCGAGGCATCTCTCATGTGCATTTGTCGGACGGCGGGCAGGATGCAGGTCGCAATTTCTATCGAAAACAAAAGATTCAAAGAGATTCGCATTTTTTTATAATTTATCTTCTAGTTAAACTAAAAAACTTGTAAAGTTTTACAATTTTTTTTTAGAAATTGGACAAAAAGCAGTTTTTGACTTGTCTGAAAAGTAAAAATAAATTGATAATTCAAATTCCCCTAGTATATATTAAGAAAAAATTTACTCCAGGAGGAGTAGGACTCTCCTTAATTACAGTGCCAAATTTGCGGAAAATTTTGTCCAGTGATTCAATTTTATCAAAAATACGAGCATAGTCTGGTACAAAGCCTTCAAGGACGGTCGAGAGATCGTTGAAAACATGACTCGTTCTGTATGAACTTCCATCACTTCAACTGATTAAAATATTTAAAAATTTA